ACCATAAAAGTTCAGAATAGCATGTGTATCATAAATTATTTTAAATTTTATTAAAAATTCTCAAAAAGATGAATAAAGTTGCAAAGCAAATAACACACCAGGAGAAAATATTTGCAAAAATATAACAATATAATAGAAAAAGGTTTTGAATCCAAAATATTTATAAAGTTTTTTTTTTTTCCCTTTTTGTCTTTTTTCATGACCGGTAACGGGATCACAACCCTCAGTGTCACACCCGTACTGCGACCGGCAACGGGATCGGCAACGGGATCACAACCCTTGGTGTCGCACCTGCACCGCGCTCAACCAGTGAGTGGACCGGTCTCCACATGGGATCCGAACCCTCAGCGGGAGCACTGCCACACTCCCAAGCACCGCACTCTACCGAGTGCGCCACCGGGCCGGCCCTTTATAAAGTTTTTATACATTCACTTAAAAAAAAAAGACACAAAATGAAAAGGAAAAAAAACACAAATGACTACTAAAGATATGAAAAAAATGCTCATCCTCACTAGTAATCAAAGAAATGTAAATTAAAATAAAATTTGTGGGGGAATTTTTAAAAAAATATTGAGATTGCAAAAGTTGGAAAGAATGTATGGAAATAACTGCCATCATACATTGTTGGCAGAAGTGTAAGTTACTAAAAAAATTTTAATTCAATTTGGCAGTCTAAAATTTGCATATCCTTTAACCTTGTAGCTCCACAGTGAGAAATATACTTCTTGTTGCATGTTTGTGATGGTGAAACTTAGAAAACACTTAAACTCGCATCAGCAAGGGAATAATCAATAAATTATAATAGTCTATCCCAGAGAATACTATCTGGCCATTGAAAGGAGTGAGGTAGACTACCTAATACCTAGCATCGTTCGATGGGAGGCAGTATCCTAGGTATTTCACATATATCAACACATTTTATTCCAAAGAACTCTATGAGGTAAATCCTATTCTCCACATTTTACAGCAGAGGAAAAGACATAGAAATTTGGATGATGAGTATAACATCACTCAAGCTTAAAAGTGGCAACGGCAGGCTTTGATTCAGGCATGCAAATGCAAGAGCCCATGCAATTTACCACTGAGCAACCCTGCCTCCTACATGTAGTGACACGGAGAGGTCTCAACGTGATGAAACAACGTATCGAACACGCAATATTAGATGACAGGCTGTACATATATATTTGTATATTCATAGAAAGGTGACTGAAAGGTCACACACCAAAGTGATGACAGTCATGTGTGTGGGGAAGGAAGGAGGGAGAGGCAGAAAGGGTCCAAAGGCGACTTTCTTATTAGATGATATAACTCTTCCAATGGGACCAACAATCATGTATGTGTGTAATCAAATAACTCAACTCCCAAAACAAGCTAATTAAAAAAATATCTCACCTTCTGGTGAAGACAGTTTACTCCCATTTGCTTTGTCCACAACCTTGACTCTGGGCTTTNGATAAATATAAGTAAGTTGTATACAACCATTATGACAAAGTGTATATAAAATTTAAACTTCAAACAAATAAGTAAATATGGTTTAAGGATGCATATTTACATATATATGAAATGATAAACACATATTGGGATGATAAACACTGAATTCAGAAGAGTGGTAGCCTCCTACAGGAGAGAAAAGGGAGTCTACATGGTTAAATAGCAAGTTTCAACTGTATGGTAACATGCTTATCTTCCTAAACTGGACAAACGTGTTTATTATATTTGTATACATTTTTCTACATCTGACACATTCAATAAACAACATAATCAATATAAATATAAAACTATAAATTAGAAGGTAAGAAAATGTTTCATGATCTAAGAAAATTACAAAACCAACAAACACCATAAAAGTTCAGAATAGCATGTGTATCATAAATTATTTTAAATTTTATTAAAAATTCTAAAAAAGATGAATAAAGTTGCAAAGCAAATAACACACCAGGAGAAAATATTTGCAAAAATATAACAATATAATAGA